GAGAAACGCTGATCTAACATAACACAGTAATGTGGAGAGTGTCATGGATTATAATGGGAACAATTTTTTTTTATGTGCTTTTAGCACGCTGTGATCCTGGGTTGTAGCGCACATAAAACTTTTTCGTTTTATGTGCGGCTGGGTTCACACTTGGGCGTACAGAATAAATGCGCAATTGCCGCGCATTTGTGCCGCACGTTTTTACCGCAATTTGCTATAAAAGAAACGCGTGACAAACGTGCGTTTCCGATGGCTATCCGGCTGTATCCTAATTGATACGCGTAGCAAATACTCCCCAAAGAAGCTCCTGTACTTCTTTGGGCGTAGGACGTTTTTCAGCGCGTTCCTACGCGCTGTAAAACGCCCAGGTGGGAACCATGCCCATAGTTAATTATTGGTTTTCACATGTTAAGCGTTTTACAGCGCGTAAAACGCCCAGGTGTGAACCAGGCCTTACTCAAACATGGGAGAGGTCTTGTTTACCTCCATGTTTCTCATCAGCGATCTGGCGGAATTTCCTAATGAATTTGTCGCAGCAATAGCACCATTGCACGGCCTTTATGAATTTGGTGCAGTATTTTTTAATACAGTCATAGCGCCAGAAAAGTGTCACAAGTGTTCTCTTAAATCGCCCCAGAGTGTATTCATATCTGGGCATTGTGATGGGCTGAAAGGCAGTGTGTCACTTTATACTGTATACACGTGCTGGGGTGTTTTTCAGAAAGAAAGGCAACGCATCACAACTTATTGTGTTGGATCGGTGTGAATAGAGCTTCAACCTTAGTGATGAGGCCGAGCTTGGTGTGAATGCAGTTTGTGTGAGTTTGCGCAAACCCACTCAAAACTCTGACCACCACCTCTTTCTGCTGACCCATTATATTGCAGGCCATTCCCTGCCCTGCAGTTATACTTCACTTAGGCTCCATTCACACATAGCGGCAACGTTTTCCGCGCAGAAAACCGCACGGCTCGAAAACGCGCAAACATTAACATACACCCAGATTTCGCATGCCGCAATCCGCCCAGAAAATCGCGTTTAGACTTTTTGCAGGTCGCACATTTTCGTACCGCACAGATGCCACCCCGTGTGAACAATGCTCATTGGAATGCAATGTTTTTTATGTACGGGCGGCAAAACCGCTCATGTGTGAATGTAGCCTAAGGGTCGGGAACACCCCCACTGCAACTGCCATCACAGAGGTTGAGGAGACTTGTGAACTGGGTTACAGATATCCCATTGCATTTTATACTGATGTATCTCATGCAACTGCAGTGGTTTCTGAAATGGCCAGTGGATGGTGCTTCAAAGACAATAGTGGCCCCCAGCACGCCGGGGTTGTTATTATCAATCCGCTTTTTATTGACAATAGACAAACATGTTGTCACAAAAGATTGCAACGTTTTGGAACCAGTGTGGTCCCTTCATTAAGCAAAACAATGCCACCCAGGTGAAGTGGGTTCCCATCAAGCCCAGCCTCATCTCTACTGAGCTCCACTTCAGCCCACGGTGGAAAGCAGCAGTAGACTACCTGGGTAGTAAAACACATTTTCTATTCATAATTAAAATAACAAATACAAGACAGGAAAAAGGGTATAAATGATTGTGGGGCCCTGGTCTCTATCCGTCACAAGATGTTTATAACGGAACTCTTATTTGTTTGTTATCAACAGAATGACAACTGATAGTTATAAGACGTAACTCTCTTCAGATCTATGTGGATCACCTTTTTAGGGCCCCTTTGAACTTCTGTTATTGCTTGTTGTCTGTATTAGTCTGCTCACTCAGAAAGCCAAAAACAAGACTTCACTCTGACCAAAAAAAGAAAAAAAGGTTTGGTGTCTGCTGAAAAAATAATCATTCTTCAGACGGTTTGCAACAGACTGGCAAAATAATTTTACAGAGCAATAAAATAAGTTTCCAGTTAGAAATGAGGACAAGTCTTGTGCAAAGTTTTTACATGTACGCACTAACTAAAAAACTCTTAGAATTTGTTTGTCCGGAAAGCATCTAACCGTATTTACTATGCTACATGTAAATTCAGAACAGACACCGATAGATTGGTGTAACTTGTATACTTTTGTATACGTCTTTAGATGTGACATTGCCACATAAATAATAGTCATAACAATGCATACCTCACCCAAGATCACTTGAAGATTTACAATGTAGATTGTAAATTACCATCTTGTCTTGAATTGTATTGTAATTGTAATGTCTTCCTTATATTGTAACGCTCTGCACAAACTGTTGGGGCTATATAAATCCTGTATAATAATATTAATGTGATTTACTAAGGCTTTAATTGCAGAGCAAAGATGTAACTGTACCTTGGTTTTAATTGCATGAGCATTTTCAGCAAAGCCCTGTCCTGTCTAAGGGCCGGTTCACGCTATCTGCATTCAGGTTATGCTGGCCGTTTATTCCAGCAGAGCTCGAATGCAAGTCATGGATGGTCTCAGTTCTCAACATCGCGTTGCGGGGGTATGTGCTTAAAAAAAAAAGATGGCATGCAATACTTTTTTAAGCACATCACAGTGAGATGCACTACAATTACATTGCACCGCTGTGAGCCCAGAGAACTGAATGAAATGACACTTGTTCGGTGGACATGAACACCAGCAGCCTTGCGGTTGAGCACGGCTGCTGATGTGGACATGCCCTCAATTTGTTTTAAAGTTTAACCCCAGACAGATATTAAAAAACACTTAGGGGTCTATTGACTAAGCTGCCGTAGGCAGCCGAGTGAATGACCGACCTGAAGCGAAGTGAGCCGAACGCTGTTAAATAGTAAAAAAAAAAAAAAATAGAAAACGATTGTGCGGAGCTAGGAATGGCAGCTAGTTCAGCCCAACAGTTTTCTATTGGCCGGCGGTTCTGCTGCCATCAAAAAAAAGAAATTTTGGCCATAGGAATGCATTGCTAGATTCCTATTGGCTAGTTCAATTTGCAATAGCCAATAGCAAACTAGCTATTGTACCCGCCCTCTGCTGCTCTCAATCACTAGTGGGGACCTGATGGAGAACAGCAGCAGAGGGCAGGTGCAATAGCTAGTTTGCTATTGGCTATTGCAAATTTAAATAGCCAATAGGAATCTAGCAATGCATTCCTATGGTGAAAAATAATTAATTTTTTTTATTCTGACACGGCTCTGTGTCAGAATAAAAAAAAAGTCTATGTGTGGACCGCATGCTCGGGCACTTGTCGGGCCCCGGTCCACACATAGACTCAGCCGCACTGCCCACAGCTGCAGTCACAGCAGCCCAGTCAAACACTACCCGTGTACACCGCCGGAACTTCACATCACAGCAGCGGGGATATGGACAATATCTTAGTGCTGCCACCCGCCCTCCCTCCTCTCCGTCTCTCGCCTGCTCGAGATGAGTAGCCTCAGACAGTACACCAGCCTCCATTGAGAACACACATCTTGGACTTCACGATCCTCCCACAGACCGGTCCTCATCCGATCCTCGGACCCACAATAGTAAGTACGCTATTTCATTTGCCTTCTCTCTGGCAACATTCAGCCCAGCTAGATAACCCTCCTTATCTACTACTAGATAACCCTCCTTAGCTTTGCGCCCTCACTTTTGCCTTTTTTTATAGTTCTCTTTTAAAAAACTCTGGGAATTAAAAAAGTGTACCCTTGCAGTGGGGCTATCCTCGCACTACAAGGTTTACCTGCACGTTTCTTCTAGGGGGCTTAAATAAAGCAGCTATACTCACCTGATCCTCAGTCTCACGGCGCTCGGCACTCATCTCTCTTCCCCTCTGCTCAGGCTGTGGAATGCTTCTCAGTGTCTTCATGTATAATGTTTGTCAATGGAATTGCATAAGACGTGATGACATCAGCGGTCCTCAGACCGCCGGAGCCTGGGAGAGACGAGGCTGCGGGGACTGATCTAGCAGCCCAGAGAGACTAAGGATCAGGTGAGTATTTCCTAATTTGACTCCCCTATACAAAACAAGCTATTAAGTCTTGCAGTGAGGGGGTAGCTCCACTGCAAGGGTATTTTTTTTAATTCCAGGAGTTCTCTTTTAAAGTAAACTCTCAATTTTGTTGTTTTAGTTTTGGAGGGAATTTTGATTCCCTCCACATTTGATTGTTGCTTGCACTCACATTGGGCAGATTTCCTCACACTTCCTGTTCCAGTAACACCCAGGAATCAGGGTTTCTCCTCTCTTTAGTGGATTGTCTACGTATGATTTACTGTTACCATTCCGTTTTGCTTCCAGAAAGAAACGTATGGAGACTACAGTCCAGGGAGAGGAAGCAGGAAGTTTAGCTCGCAGCAAAGCCCTGGGTGTGACAGGGAGTGAGAGGACATTTTCAAAGGAATTCCACTTAACAAAAAATAGTGTTGTGAATCGTGTATACAATCAGTGAACCACTACGGCTGTAGAACCTCTAGATTAGCCTACAGATGTCAACCTGTTAATAGGGTATATTTGCATACGGGTTTTTTTCCCCCCATTAATGTGGGTGGAACTGGAAAGGAATTGTCAGTTTTCTATGTGCAGTGGTTTCTTTCCTCCACAGTCTTTTTACTCCTAGAGCTTAACATGTATGATTTATAACTCAGAACAATGGGGGTTAGTCAAAGGTCACATCTCCTTCAAGAGATGATTAGCAAAGTGTGTAAAATAATCATTCAGCCTTAGTCATGGGTGAGATAGAAAAATAAGCCGTGCCTTGTTTGTTACACTTGATTTCTCGGTGTAACAAAATATATAACTGCATAATAGACAAGTAGCAAGAAAAATATTTGCCGAGACATTCATAGCCTTAGGCTAGGTTCACACCTTGGCGATTTATCGCGTGGATTGAGTCACATGACATTGCACAAAACTCAGATGCGCATTCAAGCCAATAGGGGCTGTTCACACCTTTGCGGTTTGTCGCGCGGACGAAATCGCCTGTCGCACAAAAAGGTACAGGAGCTATTTTCTATGCGTCTAAAACCGTTGCAACAACCACACGCTTTTCAAAGAACAGTCGCGCATGAAAACATGCGACAACCGAGAGCTGTGGAGAGCTGGCATCCCTGCTGAAGCATGTAGTGCTGCAGCAGCTGTGGATCGAATTGAGTTTCGGGTTGCCATGAACGCTGAAGATGTTTTGTGATGGTGGAAGTGATCAAATCATTTCTGTTTAGCCTGAATAAAAGTTAATTAAAAAGAAAATCTGATGTTTTCACTTCTTTTTATTTAGTTTTAGTTTTAAATATTATTTTAGAAATTACAGTTAAAGTGGAACCCTGGGCACAAATAATGCGGAATTGATGTAATATACAACACTTCCGCATTCTTTCAGAGGATAGGTGACCGGAGGGAGCTGATCCTGGGCTCGCACCGAGCACAGCATGCAACATTGCAAAATACAAGCTTGTATGTTAACAGGCATCGCTGCTTGTTTTTAAATTGCGGCCATTTCCCGCTTGCGCGGTCCGAGGGGGCGTGTCTGACGCCTGCTCAGATCTAGAGAGCTCCCGACCGGCCGTTTTTTTTACTACGGCCGGCTCGGAGGCAGTTAAATATATATTCTTCAATATTTTTTGTGCACCCAATGCCTTTGTATACCCAGTTATTACCATATGAAAGCAGTGACATTATCACTGTGCTATACCTAGCCTGTGCAGAGAGCAGAGCTGTAGAAGGGGCTCCACCCACTACAAGCTGCCTGCAGAAAACTACAGGAGGGGCGGATACAAGACCAGTCACCCTGCATAAGGAGAGAGAGAAGAGTGACTGGTCTGTATTACAGGAAGTTCCTGCACAGAGGCAAAGTTTCACAGGTGATTACTGTACAGATCTGGAAGACATATGGGAAGCTAGAAACGAAAGGTCACCAATATATACATAAAAATCCTAAAGCTGCAGTGTATAGAGGAAGTTAAAGAAATCCTTATAAAGCATAGACCAATTTGCTAAGGCAAGGAATAATATTCTTTCCTGATCCTGAAAGCCAATCCTAAAGCCAAACACTACAGTGTACTCTTTTGTTACATTAAAAAAGGTCTTTCCCCCCCCCCCCTTTTTTTGTAACAGAGCTTTTAATCTCTTTAGACATATGTGATACAAATAATTATCTGTTTCATATTCTTTCTGCCTGTAAGCCACTTTATAAATAACCCCTTGTGTGATTAACTGGGTGGAACATCCTGCCCATTGCATTAAGGAACAATCTTCAATAAAAGATTGCAGTGCTGTTTCATTCAGGGTCAAATAGGACAATTGCCTGAGGTCTTTGATTCTCAAAGACTCCAATTTATTGAAAGAGGGAATGTTTTATATAACATTAATTTGTCTCTTGAATAAAATGTATAAATACATTTTACAGCAACAAGAAGGCATATTACACTGAAGTGCTTAGCAGAGATCCTTTTTTTTTTACTGACATGCCACTCATCTACCATCCATATTCTCTATTTAATAAGGCAAAGCACATGTGCAAAGTGCAGCAACCCAGTATCTCTTATAGTATTTACTTCATGCCAAGGTTGCAGATATACATAACTGCAATGGTATACATACAACTAATTTACTAATGTACTAACAAATGTTATTTTATTAAGTAGCACACGCCCCAATGTCTGAACGTAGTCCTGCAAAGTGATGATATATATAAAAAAAATTGTATTTCCTCGATGTTCAATGCACACACACACTATCCACACCTGAAAAAAAACCTTTTGGCTGTACATACACTTAATTATATTACTACTAGCAAATCAGATGTTGCACTTGAATCTGTGTAATTGCTTGTGAATTATAGTTTATGGCTCATGATGTGCTGTGTAAGCTACTGCCCACCCTCCCCTTATGTTGTAACATGTCTTGTAGTGATATCACAGCTCCCGTTCAGGATAAGAATTTTAGCTGATTTGTCCTTTAACTAAATCATTCAACTGTCTCCTGACTGGCAGAACCTCTTTAAACAATGAAGGGAATGTAGAAGAACACAGTACCTAATGTTATTTTCCCCTAGGCAGATAACAGTAGATCCTGACAGATGACATTTTGTAACTTCCATCTTTCTCCTACCTAAACAGACTCTTGGTTCACAAGTAGACGTTACAAAGTAATCAGATACCAACCTTACAGTTTCTACTGGTCATTGTCTGGTTTCGGGTTTGTCGCTCCTTGGTAAAGAAATAGGGATGATCTAAACCTCGTTAAACTCTTATATTGATCTTTTAAATCAGTATTTTGGTGACAAGGTTCTATTTTTTACACATCAGTTATTGCATATCAGTAGCCTAAGGCAAGTTTTAAATCCAGTGTACGTAATGCATTTGTGCTATGAAGTTTATTTTCTTAACCAACATATTTATTGCCAGTATTATATTGCTCAAATTAGTTAACTGCCTTGCAGCAAAAAAATGGGTAAAAAAATAGGAAGCCCCTGAAATGTTAGATAGCAGAGAAGGACAGGTCAGCACAAATTCAGAGATGATTTGAAGATCTACAGCTGATTGATGAACAAATAAGTAAGTTTTTGTTAATTAAATGCATTCTTAAAATGTGACAAAAATGTGACAGTGGAGCTGAGGTGCCATGACAGACAGTGACTTCACTGCACTCATAGTGTCTTCATGCAGAGAGCAGCACTAATGTCATCGTGTCAGCACCACTGTCTGTATTATCCAGGACTAGTGATGGGCCGAGTGTTCGATTCGAACATGAGTTCGAATCGCACATCGGCAGTTCGAGCGCTCGTCGAAAGCCAAACTTTATGGGATGTTCGTGGTTTGTTCGACCGCGGACATTCCATAATTCAAAATGCCCACTGAAGCTCTGATTTGTTAAAGTCTTGTACCTGACCACAGGTCAGGTGCAAGACTTTGCCCAATCAGGGCTCAGCGGAGGAGGGGCCTGAAGGTGAAAGTTCTCTATCAAGTCCCCCCATGCTGATTGACAGCAGGCAGTGGGCGGGAGCAATAGCCAGCTTGCTATTAGCTATTGCATTTTACAATATCCAATAGCAGGCTGGGTATGGATCCCAGCCTGAAATGAAGAGGAGGCAGGGGGGCGGGGCAGAGGAGCCGCGGCCGGACCAGATAGTAGATGAAGCCGATGGACCAGGGGACCGGAGGCCGGGACAGCAGCGGACGGATCAGGGGACCGGAGGCCGGGACACTAGCGAACGGACCAGGGGACCGGAGGCTGGGACAGCAGCGGAGCTAAGGGGGGCAGCAAAGGCATGCAGCGGTCTGTGTCCCCGCTGTCTCCGCCAACACAGGCGCGGAGAGCAGCGGGGATTTGAAGGGACACATTTGACCCCCATACACTTGCATTGAGTTCGAGTTCGTATTCGAACATTTCGGCTGTTCGAATGTTCGAATACGTACTGAACATGGGGGTGTTCGGCCCATCCCTATCCAGGACCACTGATCACTAGTGGAGGATCAAGGAAGAACATGACTTAGTGAGTCATGTGACCAACCACAAGACATTTGAAAATAAAATCATAAAATACTGCCAGCGGGGGCCTTAAAGCACAGAATTGGGCTTTAAAGTGAGATTACACCTTCAATTGTTTTGTTTATGGGGGCCAGACTTACTTTTAAAAAACATTTTCAATTTTTTTTAGTTCCCTAGTGGTATCCAAATTGCTAGCCCCACCCCCTGTATCGGTGCCCCCATCAGCTAGCCGGCTGCTGTGGAGGCACCCATGTGTACACACTCACGGCAATGCCCGCACAGCGTGCGGCCAGCCATGCCCATTTTTTAGATTGTAAGCCCTCAGGGGCAGGGCCCTCCTTACCATCTTGTCTTAAATTGTATTGTGACTGTAATGTCTTCCTTATATTGTAAAGCGCTGTGCAAACTATTGGCGCTATATAAATCCTGTATAATAATAATACTTTATTATTGACAGCAAAAGGAGCCGTAGGCTCCTCTGCTCTCAGTACCTTCGCCCTCAACCAGGACATTCCGTGTATCTTCCTGGTCATGGCGGAGGATACAAGCGGCCACGGGTTAGTGTGTGTGGGTGTGTCGGGGGGGGGGGGGGGGGGGGGTAAGGGTTTTAGAAAAGTACTGGGTGTTTTTTTCCTCAATGCAGAAAATGCATTAAGGTAAAAAACACCAAGACTTTAATATTACTTTAAAGAACAATTCCAGGAAACAGGTGAAATCAGTCAGTAAATTACTAAGCACTGCAACTCGTCACTTTAAAGCTAAACGCCAGCATTCCCCCTCCTCCAAACTATCTCCCAGTACAGTAAAATTGGTCAGAAAAACAAATAACTTTTGTGAGATCTACACACTGCAGGCATCTCTGATGTGAGGATGTCAACTAGTCTTGTTACCATCCCACCGCATGTCTTAGTGGGATGGTAACAAGACCAGTCACCCTGCTCAAGGAGAAAGAGTAACGGAGACTCGTCATCTCGATTGGAAACTGCTACCCTAAGGAATGTAGAGTGACAAGTTTAGGGATGATTCCTTCTAGCCCTGCTGTAAAGTGACGAAAAAGAAAGAGAGAGTAAGGAATGGAATTCCTTTTGCAGTCGGGGCAACTTTGCTGACTGGAGTTCAGCTGTAAATAAAACATGCAGTGAGAGAAATATGGGGCTCACCATTTCTGACTTTCTTTTAAAATTACGTGCTGCCTGACTGGTTTCAGTATTTTCTTCATTGCCCTTTGAACATAGGTGCAGATCAGGGAAGTCAGAATGAAGCCAGAGCGGCAATTTTCATGTGTGTTCCACATCGGTAACTTAGAAAGTACTGACTTTGACTTTCTGTATTTGAAACACTACAATGGGTGTAGTTGGGAATTCCTCTGCGGCTAGAAAAAGATGTGCAAAAGGATACTTTCAAAAAATGTCCCAGGCCAGATGCCCAGATCTTAATCTTTATTGTGAAACAGCCGTTAAACTTCAGAGACTCCCCTTTTACAGCTGTTAACTGTGCCTTTGTATTTTCAAGATAGTGAGTCTGGTAAGGTAAACAAAAGTGCTTCCAGATCATCAGATTACCCAAAAAGTGTAAGGGGTGTACTGGCCTATTACAGCAAGGCCAAGAAAAGAGACAGAAGTTGGCGGCATTTATGTTCAGGTGTTATCCATAGTCAGAGTCTACCTTCCAGGACTGAAAAGTTGGTACAGAGATGAAACAATCATCTAACACCTGATGTCTGTAAAGTTGCACTTATGTTACTGGCTATTTGTACATGTCTTATACACATCTTAGTCCCATTGCTTTTCAGTTGGTGGCCAGCGAGCCAGCCAACCAGTCAGCCAGCCAGCCAGCGTTTTATTTAAGTTGTCTTTAAGTAAACCTCTCCACTCTTCCTCAGTGAAGCCTGCATGTGAAATGCCCTTTTCATCTCTTCCTAGATCTTCACTTCTTCACTATGTGGCCCTGTCAGGCACAACATAGCCCTTGCAAGCACAGCATCCATGCCAGGTTCTCTTTCTAGCGCACATGGGCACTTCTATGGATGGTCTGTACTCTTGGCAGCATCCACCCATCAAGTGGGGTATGGACCATGCAAAGGAATGAATAGGGCAATGCAAAGGCTATGGTTCACTGGGCCACACAGTGAAGATCTCAGGAGTGGGGAGGAAGGTAAGTATTTCACCAAGCAGACCTCGCAGAGAAAGGTTTACTTAAAGGATAACTTCACTAAAAGTGAGGTTGCCCTTTAGCTGATTCAATTAGCATGCCTTGAGAAACTGGTGCTGTTTGCAAGTGGAGAGTTGTCTAATGTTTAGTAATGCTGACAAAGCAGAGATAATTAGAGATAACCTGTATTTTCATTTACCACCAGAAGTGGGGCCATGACCCAACTTGGAATGATATCATGAATGTGTATATCTAATGAAAAGCATACTTTCCAAGAGGGTTTTGGTCATCAAAATCGTATTTCTGTGTGCTTGAGCTCATTAAGATAGCTAGTGGAGGTGTCCAGACATTCTTCTCTATACAATAAACTCCATACCCTGCTTTTTGAGAAACATTGCGTTTTCAGTTAGCATGGATGTTGCACAAGAGGCTAAATGGATGAGAAATAGTTTAATAAGAGGGAAGAAGGAGGCGTAGTTTTGTTGCTCTACAATAACTGCATTTTTTAATATTCTCCAGGGTTCTTCTAGTGTGTGCATATACTGTATGACTCATGGAAATATTTCTAAGCAAATAAATTTGCTTTGCTGCCTTAACATGTAGCTTTATTGTTCTGAGTATTGCAGGGGTATTCCCTCAAAAGTTACAACATTTACTTACACCTACAAAATGGCAAAGTGAAAGGTATAGGTGCTGTAGAGTCAAAATGTTAGCGGTTTTATGATTTAGTATGAAGTTACAGTCACTGAGTATAGCTGTCTTATTTTTTGTAGGTTAAAAATAACCTTACAGTAACTGAGCATACAGAGATGTGTCCAATGATCAAATTACATTGTTCCCTGTTTTCATGTATATGCAGTTCACACATGAAGGTGGGTGTCAGTGAAAGAATGCTAGGGTTTTTGAAGCCTCATTTCTTTTTTGTATAATTAAAAAGCAAAAAGCAGGCACGGGCAAAATATCTTTTGTCATAGCATGTATGTAACTATTTACTTGCTTGAACACTTCCTTTTACAGTGGGAATCTATAGTCCTCTTCAAGGTTTGATGCTATAGATATACATAATATTATATTATATATTGGCTTATCCTGTCAATGTGAGCTAATATTTTTTACAAAAGTATTTCTGTTCTTTTAGTTATATATGTAGATTGGGACAGTCATGCAGGCTCTGTTTCTGACTTAGTGCTGGCTAACGGCTCATGCACACAGGCGTATTAAAATATTCCCATTTAGGCTGTGTTTTGGTGTTTAATGTGTGTTTCGGTGTTTAATTACGTGCCTTTAAAAGCTTATGACATTTAGAGGTGTATGCATATAAACTAAATAAATTGGCTAGGATATTAATTTATTCTAGCCACAAGAATGAGTTTATTTGTGTACATGCATTTACACATGCTGTAAGTAAATTATGCCAGTAAGCTTCTCCTTCCTCTCTTTCATGCATCTCAAGCTGGAATATCCAGTAGTTGATCTCAGCTGCTGTTTACCAAGATGGTAATTTCATTTATGTAATATACAACAATTAGCCACTGGGATAACATTATATATATATTTTTTACTATATATATATATACAGTATATATATATAAAATCATATTATTGTTGAAATATAAAACAGCAAAGAATAAAAACAGAAAAGTCACGTCATAAACATCTTCCTTGCATTTTTTTCAATACTAATGCAGAACCTAAACTTAATACACAATAGCTTCTGTTTAAGCGAATTAGCATGTTTCTTGTCGAGACATTAATAACTGCACATTTTTTGTAGGTCTAATGGCTTTATGCCGCAGGGTCTTCCCAGAAATGTAGTCCTGGGTGAGACCTATGTGAACCATGTCCTGACATTTCAAGACATCAACTCATTGCATTGCAATTAACTAAATGTAGCTTGTTTAGGCATAATTTAAAAAAGGAATGGATTACAGTTATACCCAGCCAGAATGGAGGTCCATTATGAACCACATACATTGGAAGCACTATATCAAAATGATAAATGAATGAATCCCTTCACAACACTGTGCAAGCATTGTTTTTCAGTACTGCATCAAAATAAGGCAAGGATTGTGCGTGTGGAATTTTTTATCGCTATTGTGCATTCCCTCTCTGTGTCTTGACAGCTGATCTCTTTTATTTGCAACTGACATTCTCAACATACAGTAGTTTATTGTGCACTGTTAAATTGGTCATTTAAAGCAAGGATTCACTTCTCATTATTCGTATAGTATTCATTGGCGTGATTCTTGATGTCATCTAAATAGCCCTTTTATTGTCAGTTGTTTTTATCTGTTACTAGGATGTGTGGGTAGTAAAATGCTAGAATAGTACCACTAACATCTTGATCAGTTTAAATGCTTACTTGTTTAAGACCTGAGACTGGAACATATGATATCTAGATCCTGCAATACAAGATATGTTTCTTTACTATCAAGATGTTACAGCATAAACTAAAGTGAAAAACTTTAAAGTTAGGTACGACTCAAAATTATCCAAAATTATAGGGTGAATAAGCCCTATGGCACCTGTCATGTGAATGTGTCTGAATGCTCTAATCATTTACAAATGGAAAACCTGAGCAATACCAAACAAATAAGTGTGTGGAGACACTGATTAAACAAAAGGAAAGTTTCAAACATATGATTGGCTCCTAGTACTGCCACTTTCTTTCCAGTGCTGATATACAGTGGAATGCAAGAAACTGATACCAAGATAAATGTATTTATACTAATTACATTAAAAATCGCATTTAATCATTTATTAATAAATGCATATGTACATTAAAGTGACACTGAACTCATGGAGATAGATCCTAAAAAGCATTCAAGTATCTTAAAGGAGAACTATGGGGTTAGGGCTTTTCCCCATAGTTATCCTAAGGGTAACGGGAGGACACAAACATGCGGGAGGACACAAATCCAGGAAATGTAAAAATGTACCCTTGCAGTGGGACTACTGCAAGGGTTAGCTGCTCGTTTTTGGTCTAGGGGCTAAAATAAGCGGGGATTGGTCAGTCTAGCAGCCAAACGGGGCCGAGGATCAGGTGAGTTTATTTTCTTTGTTTCCTAGACCAAAACCAGCAGTTAACCCTTGCAGTTCTGAAATAGTCCACTGCAAGGGTTAATTTCTAGATTGCCTGGAGTTCTTTTTTAAGAATGGCACTAGTCGGGAAAGAATTGTGGCTCATTCAGGTGGGGTTGCTTTGCAGCACTTGGGTTCTGTGTTTGATTTCCAGCAAGGGCATTATTAAGACAGAGCTTGTATTCTTTGCTGGGTGCTTTGACTGCCTCCCGCATTTAAAGTTTGTTCATTGCCTTTTTACAAAATTGGACTTAGCATGCATATGTATATGTAACTATGTATGTGGATAGGGACAATAGACTGTAAGCTGGAAGCAGAGACCAACATCAGTGGTGCAGTGTTTCCTGTAGAGTGCTGTCAGCTCTAAAATGAGTTTTATTGGCTGGAATTCCTATCTAACAATTAAACAACCGACAATTTTAGCATTTGGTATTTAGACTAAATTGTGGCTGTCTTGGTTCTGTTTTTTTTCGTGCTGATGTGCCCCCTATGCTACTGTAAACATTTACGGTCCTGTGATTTTAACCTGGATACTTAACGCATACATTTTACAAGTAAGCGTAGTGAGAGAGCAGTCGGTGAAGGTGAATGAGACATTGAGCAGCTATTTTATTTTATGTGATTCTGGATGAATAGTTAGCTAGATCAACAAACATGCCCATGTGTGTGGGGGTGGCAGGAAGCACACACTGCCAGGTATCCGTTCTGTGGCATCCATCCCAGGCCTTTGCCCAATTCTTTTTTTTCCAGAAAAGATCACTTTTTCCACCTACAGCAAGCTACAAATATAAGCAAATTATTTTTCTTACAAGCGTTACAAATAAATTATTGTGGTCTTTCACCCATAGTTTCATAACAATCATGTTGCAAAGCGGTCACCTAAAGGATAACTTCAGTAGTATTGTGTGCATTTGCACAACATGCAACATTGCACATTATATACATTCTTGTGTAGCATTGCCATTCATTTTGAATGATTAGGGCAATGTACATGCTTTGCAGAACACAACAATGCACAGCAATTTACCATAATGAGTTGCAACATTTTTTCGTAGGGCTGCCCTAACGCTGTGCATGTGAACCTACATGCGTTAAAGTGACACTAAACTCAGGAGTTAAATCTAAAACATGCATTCAGGTACCTTAGCTATTAACAATATTGTACCTTAGTTGTGTATCACTTAGCTGTAGATCCTCAAATTATCTCTGAATTGGTGCTGACACTGTCCTTCTTTCTGGCGGGTGGCTACTTTTGTTCCCCATGGTCCCTTTGTGTGTTGTAAAGTAGCCGCAGCTCCAAACTCGCTCCCGTGATGGACTATAATCTCAAGACAAGCTAGTTAACTAAACATGAGATTGTAGTCCATCACAGGAGTGAGCTTGAAGTGGTGTATACAATACAGGGACTACGGGGAACAAATGCAGCCAACCTCAAGAAGGGAGGACAGTGTCAGCACCAATTCAGAAATGATTTGAGGATCTACAACAGAGTGATACACAAAACATTTACATTTTTGTTAATAGTCAGGGTACTTAAATGCATTTTTAAGATTTAACTCCTGAGTTTAGTGTCACTTTAACGTTCCACAAAAATGTAAATGGGCTTTTATTGAAGTTGTCCTTTTATTTGTTTCTTTCAAGCCTAGGTAGTAAAATACTTACCTTCATCCCCTCCTGAGGTCTTCCCTATGCAGGCTCTTCCTGGCACTGTGCAGCCTTTAGAGCTAAAACTCTCTGTGTCCTGGGTCTACAGCCCATATACGCCACTCCCTCCTTTTATTCCAGACTGGTCTGTATTAATGGCTGCCATCAGTCATCTTTAAAGGAGAACTATGAGGTGAGTGCTTTTCACTCACCTCATAGTTCTAGCTGACCTGTGACAATGAGACTGTCACAGGTCGGCTCAGTAGATCGGGAGGTGA